TTCACTGTATTTGATGTTGGTATAATTTGTGGAGGGGAAGAAAAAAAACAAATTGTTTAAATAGGGATACAGGTGGACCCATTGCAACAATGAGATGTACAAGACGTTATGTTGAAAAACAAACATTACAACTTTGGCGCTGGGGGGTATGGGGTGATGGGAAGGGATAGGGAGAGGAAACAAAGGAGGAGGCAGCAATGCTTGATAAGAAATGTACTCATTACCTTGTTCATGTCATTGTAACCCCTCTGTATGGTATTTTCACAAAGAAAGAAAGACAGACAGATAGACAGAAAGAAAGAGAGAGAGAGACAGAGAGACAGAGAGAGAGAAAGAAAGAGAGAGGGGAGGGAGGGAATGAAGAAGGAAGGAAGGAAGGAAGAAGGAAGGAGGGAGGGAGGAAGGAAGGAAAGAAAGAAAGAAGGAAAGCAAGCAAGCAGGCAAGAAGGAAAGAAAGAAAGAAAAGAAAAATAGATATCAGATGTACCTACAAATAGTCCTTTTCTCCTGTTTTAAGAATGTAGTTATCAGCCAGGCGCCGGTGGCTCACGCCTGTAATCCTACCTACTCAGGAGGCTGAGATCTGGGGATTACAGTTCAAAGCCAGCCTGGGCAGGAAAAGTCCATGAGACTCTTATCTCTAATAAACTATTCAGAAAACTGGAAGTGGCCCTGTGGCTCAAATGGTAGAGCGCTAGCCTTGAGCTGAAGAGCTGAGACACAGTGCCCAGGCCCAGAGTTCAGGTCCCAAGACCGACAAAAAAAAAAAAAAAGAATGTAGTTTTCTGAATGTCAGAACGCCTGAAAGTTTGTTTGTTTGTTTTTTGACAATTCTGGGGCTTGAATTTGGGCCTGGGCGCTGTCCTTGAGCTTCTTTGCTCAAGGCTAGTGCTTGATCACTTTGAGCCACAGCACCAATTCTTGTTTTCTGGTGGTTAATTGGAGACAAGAGTCTCACAGGCTTTCCTGCCCAGGCTGGCCTCAAACTGTGATCCTCAGATCTCAGTCTCCTGAGTAGTTAGAATTACAGGTGTGAGCCACTGGCGTCTGACCAGAAAACTTACTTTTGATAATGAAGAACACCTTGTTTATCTCTTCAGAGCTTCAATATAATACTAGAACAGCACCACGTGGAGAAATTATAAAAGATAACATGATTTCCCATGACTTGTTTACTTGAGTTTGGTATATTATCTGTACTACATTGTGGAAAAACTAGGAAGACTTAACATATCAAAATAATTTTTATGAACTAGCCAATGACATTTACATAGATTCATACCAAGAAAAGGAAAATAGGAAGAGTTCCTGCTTCTCTTGCTGCTGGAGCCATCAACAGAGGCTTTATGGTAGAAAGCAACAGGATGCAGACTAAGGATTTGCTGCAGAACTTAGTGGCTGCCATATTCTTCACCACCAGGTTTTCCAGGCTGTTTGACTGATGGAGAGCAGAAGGGGTGTCGCTCCCACATCACCTGGGCACATAGGGCTGCCATCATTCATTTCCACAGCAAAATCTGAGTCACATAATTATATGGAAGGCATCTGTTACTCTTGTTTGTTGGAGGCCTTAATTACTTCCTGCTGTGCAGTTTAACTATCTGACTAAATGTAATACAGTCTGGAGCTGCTATTAACACAGGCATGGTTGATAAACTGTAGTAAGATAACATTAACTGGAGGTAGCATCTATCACTTATAACTTGAGTAACCTAGAGAAACACTCCGCTTCTTCACCTCGTCATACAAAAGATGTTAAAACACTACCTCCCTAATAAGACTGTCATGAACATTAACTGAGTGAATCTGTACCATGTTCCCTGACATGTTCTAAGCACTGAGCATACATTGCTCTATACATTGCACTATATTTTTATATAGTGACATCAATGAAGGGAATGACTTATAAAAACAAAGCAAATTTTAGTCACAAGTTGAGACCAAATATTTTACAAAAAAAAAACACACTTTGTTTATTTGGGGTGGCTCTTGATTGATTAAAAATGAGATTAGCAAACTGTACTTTGAAACACTTCCCTTTCAAACCTTTAATTTTTAAATACCATCACTTCCAAAGAAAGTTCACACTGTTGAATCGCACTAATAAAGTGAGACTGGAGGAAACAGACTAACCTCTTGAGACATAGGGACAATGAGCTGGAAATCATCTAAGTTAAGGTAGCAAACACAACTGAGAATTATGACATGTGGTATTTGCTACATCTTCAGCAATGTGCCAGAATTATCCCCTGCAGCACTGGCCACATTTCCAATCACAAATGTCCCTAGGGAGTTCCAAAACTATTCTCAACTAAGTGCCCGCCTTCCATTTGGTGGGGGGGGGGTGTGGAAAGACTTGGAATAATATCTTGTTTAAGATTAAAAATCATAAATATTTCAAGTGATGATCTAATTAATTACTAAAGATTACTATGTCTATTTTTTTTATGTAGGACTGGAGAAGCTTGAGCAGAAAGGGAAATCTCTGTCCCCTTTAGCAAGTATCACTGGAATATCTCTATTTTTGATTATATCCATGAGTATTCTCTTTCTGTGGAAAAAATATCAACCCTACAAAGGTAGGTTAAAATTAGAAGAAAATAAGTTGTAGATATATACTAAGCAAAACAATCTTACTGTGTTTTTCCTTATTGCTTTTTGGTTTAGCTATAAAACAGAAGCTAGAAGGCAGGTAATGTATATATTTCTATGAATTTTTTTCTTAACTTTTTCCCTTCAGTTACTATCTTTGATATTAATAACAATTTGTCTTTTCAGGCCAGAAACAGAATACAGGAAAACTCACACATTTTCAGGTAATGGTTGAGCTGAAAAGAGCTCTGTTAATATATATTAATACTGTTGAGATTCACTGATACTATGATCTGGGTCACATAAATAACGTAAGTTAATGTAATAGAAACAGTCCCTCACTTTAGATCAGTGCCTTCCCTTCACAAAATGTTGTCCCTATTCTGGTCCTGTTTAAGGTATCTGAGTCTGGACAATTTACTAGCAACTCCATTTTACAGTCAAGACCACCACTAAAAGTCAGAGAGATCAAGTTACTTCCCCAAAGACAATGACTTCTGCTTAAGCTCATTCATCAACCTTATTAGTAGTAGTCAGAAAAGGCTAAAGATCTCTCTCATTTTGTTAATTCCTAAGGGAGACATAGTAGGCAGCTCTGTGGTATGGCGAAGAGGAAAGGGAATTATGATAAGGGCCAGTGTTGCTTCGTTGTCCCCAGATGAACCTCATTTGCCTTCATCAGGCTTTTGTGTCACAGGATGCTGGGTTTCCAACTTGGGCATGCCATGTTTCTCCTTGGGAAAGTTATTTTCTTGACCTTGACTTTGTGATCTATATAATTTAAAAAAACTTCCTCCTAGAGTTGCTATGAAACAAATAAAATACTACAGGTAATCATATGATATCTGGATACCTAATAAAGATGGGCCTTCACGTCTAGCCCTTGCTCACTTACAAATGACTGAATGCCACAGAGAAGAAGGGCCTCCACTACCTGTACCCCTCAGCTACCCCAATTCCCGTCATTTTCCAGATGAACATTAGATGATAAGCATATTGTATTGCACTATATTTTGAATGGCTGACAAGCTATAGTTATTTACTTATTACCTTCTGTACTACTGGTCTCTGTTAGATCTAGTAAGATGTAGTCTATATTATGGGTGGTTTGGGGTCTGCTGTGACCTCCAGGCTGAAGCTTTAAGTGTCACAAGTATCTGATAAGGATTACAAAGGACAATTTCGTCCATATGTGGATGTTTGAATATGTTATACACTGATCACACAACAAGCTTTAGGAATAATTATTCCAATTCAGTTCTCAGTTTGAGAAGGATTGATTTTCAGCACCCATCAATGGCAATGAGGGATTAGGGAATGTTGTTAGTTTTGTAAACATAGTATTTAAAGCAAAAAATAATGGTAAGTCTTACAAAGGTTTTTACAAATGCAACAGTAAATGAAAGAAAACATTGGCTTTCTAAATAGTATTGTTTTTCCATTTCAGGCCATGAAGATGCTCTGGATGACTTTGGAATATACGAATTTGTTGCTTTTCCAGATGCTTCTGGTGTTCCTAGGGTTGGTTTTTCTACTGGCTGATTAACCAACAAGTAGAATTCTGTTTTACCAGAGGTTTCAGCAGGCTTCATTTAAGCACTTGGGCAGTGTGGTCCAGTGGCTGCATTATCCCTTACAGATTTAAGTAGTGCTGATTGATTCAGTAAGGAAGAGGAAAGCATTTTTCTCAGCCTTTATAAGAAAAGCTAGCACAAATAAGGAAATTATGCTAATTAATGAACATTCTTTACCTGGCAAGCTCAGAGAAGAGAGAATTAATTCAGTTCAAGGGCAAGAGAACTGAATAAACAGAGGATCAGGAATTCCTGGTTTGAGTTATTCCACTTTACTTAGATGATCATAACTTTACTGAACTCTTTGCTCAGTTTCTCTTCATGCTCCTTCATAACTCCTGAGCACATTTCAAAGATAATTTTTGCATCTTTAAAGGTACTTCATGATCTTCATAAGGAAATTATAATATAGACCTAAAGTATACAAGTATATGTCTTATTATTATCTACAGGTGCCTTAATTAAAGGGATTAAAGGGTCTTTATAAGTTGAAGCCACTTTTTCAGCACCAGCTTGAACTCTGGGCCTGGGTGCTGTTCCCCAGCTCTTCCGCTCAAGGTTAATGCTCTACCATTCGACCCAGAGTACCACTTCCAGCTTTTTCTGTTTATGTGGTGCTGAGGAATAGAATTCAGGGCTTCATGCATGCGAGGCAAGCACTCTACCACTGAGCCACCTTCCCAGCCCCCCCAAAAAAATTATCTTTTAAGATGATAAGTATTGTTGAATAGATATGCAGAAAATATCTGTGAGCTAATCATCTCATGAACACTCTTACAGTTTTATAGGACTGAGTTTGCTGTTGCTTCTTTATTCCCCTCTGATAGTCCACTTAATGGAAGGGGCCATAAATGGATTACTTGCTTCTGGGCATTCTCACTTTCATTTTTTAAAAGGACTATTTGCTGTTAGGAAATGGCTAGTTCATTTGTTCAGAGCATTCTATCACTGCGTAAGGTTCATCCAGTACATTTCCTAGCCACAGACTATGTTTTAGAGATGCCCTGTGAGTAATGGAGAGGACTTGATTGGATTTCATCCTCCCTAAGGGAAAGTCAGTAGCACCAGCATCCACACCATCACCGATGAAGGAAAGAACTCTTCTAGAAAGGCTTTGCAATGCCCTTTATTCAATCTCAGGCAGATTGGTTCACACTTCATTTCCACAACCAAAAAGGCAAAATAAATATTTGGTGGGTCACTTATTTAAAATGGATTCTCACAGTCAAAGAAAGCACCCTTTGAAGGTGTATTTTCAAATGGGAGGCCAGGAAAATGAAGAACGAAGAGGGCTTATAATTAAATTTTTTGAAGCAAAGAGTTCATTTGATATAATGCCTACTTTTTAATTCCTAGGAATTAAATGGAATAAATTCTTAGGAATTTAATGGATAGGGGCGAGATTCATGTAATAAGAAACTTCAAATTTAGCCTTGGGATGAATCAGAAGGCTATTTGTAAGGGACTAATTGGAGGGGACAACGTTTATTGACTCAACTTGCTATAGTCCTCGAGAACATTAACAGAGATATGGGACATTCAATTGCATCTCAGAAGCACCACTTATTTCAGTCATTAACTGAGTGACTTGACTTGGAACCATGCCTGTTTTCAAAGCTGAAAACTCCTAAAGGATCTGCAGAGATTCTTAATTGGCCATGCCAGGTGCTTTGGGGAAGAAGTGAGAAATCAAAACCAACAAGCAGAGGACAAAGACACAGGAGGTAGATCTGAGTGAGAAGCCAGAGGGACATTTATATGGGAAATGGACCAAAGAAGAAAAGTATTAATAAAATCAAGACCTCAAAGTTGACACTAACAAAAGAAATAAACTAACTTAATCATTTCTTTAGATTTTAAAAATCAATTAATTGCTTAACTTTTCCAAGTACATTTATAAATGTAATATCTCTTCCTTTCTCTCTTGTTCTTCTCTCTCTCTCTGTTCGTGTGTGTGTGTGTGTGTGTGTGTGTGTGTGTATTGTCAGTGCCTCTTTTTCAGAAGTTAGAAAGAAAGACAGTGCATAAAGTGAACAAGGTTTTTGTTTAATAGTTTTAATATTGGGTTAAGTAAGCTGGTTAATTGGTTTTACCAATGCCCAAGTCCATCTTTAGGCCAAAGAAAATCAAGAGTTGATCTCAAATGCATCAAAATCTCCTCTACACAGAATGATTCTACAAATCACATGTCCTAGTGCTGCCCTAGAGAACTTTAGTAAGCAGAATGGAAGCAGACTTTATCAAAAAAGAACAAAGCCAAGACATGGCACTATAATGCACAGGTCACATTGAGATGAGAGAGAGAATTCCTTAGGCTTATGCAGGGCAAAGAGATTTCCTGGTGGAGTTGTACAAAAATGAAAAACTGTAAGTAGGTAGAAGTATGATGAAAATAGGTAGTGGATGGGGAGGAAACTCTGCCTTTAAATAATTAGAAGGCAATATTTATAAAGAAGGAAAATATGAACTGTAAGTAATGAGAACAAAACATGGATGTCAGTTTCAATCAAATAGATGATCATTTTTTACGAGAGAAACACACTGCTATTCTTCCTACATTCATCGGAGCCTTTAGTTTTTAGAGCCTATTACCACAGTCAAACCAAAATATTTCCCTTTGTGCGCTCTGCACTTACAATGTGATTAGAATAGCGGGATCTACATTCCTCTTCTTTTTTTAAGCTACTCTTACACATTTACTTGGAAAGTAATATCAAATGACTCTGAGTTCAAGCTCCAGCATTGGTGTGCATGCACACACATGTGCATACACACAGACAAACAGACACATACACAGACACACACACTCACACACAGGAAAAAAAGACGTAAAATAAAAGAAGGATGTAGATACTCTACTGTCCTAAACTGTCCTTTTTTTTTCTATTTTTCTTCCGATTATGTTTTCTTTACATTATGTTTTCTTCTAAAATGTTGAAAAAAAGTGACAGCTCTGTCCTCCTTGTGCTGCTGTACAAAGTGCCAAAGGACAAATGCAAGATCCTGCAGCAAGGAGAAACAGCACCCCAAGGATGAGAAACCATTCTATTTCCCTAGCCAACACTACTGCCAGTTATTTTTTGCTGTGCAGCATAATGGAAACATGGCTAATTAATCTTGGGCTAACTTTCTTTAATGTGTCACATTTTCTAGATGCCAAGTAGGTCCATTCCAACCTCCAATGCTACATCAAGGCAAGATTTGCATGGTACGATTTATGAAGTGATTCAGCACATCCCTGTCCAACAGCCAGACGATCCAGAGTAAGTATGAGTCTGCACTTGGTGGTATTATGGAGAAACTCAACACTTAGCCTCTGCTTGCCTCATAAAAATGTCTTGAAAGCCTCAATAAAAAGATAGTGAAGTGAGAAATTATATCTTGCATACATTTGAAAAGGCATAATTCACTTTCTCGTCTCAGGATAATGTTGAAATAAATGAAACAGGCAAACACACAAATATCTTCTGAGCCCATACACTTGAGCAAGCAGACACACAGAATTCTACAATCAATTGTCTGTTGAATGTATTTCTCCCTCTTATAATATCACTCTCCCCCAACCCCCAAGCCAGTTCTCAAACTTGAGGTTACTTTCATGATTTTCTGGTGCTCATGATGATGTGTTACCAAAAATAGGACTCAGAAATGAGGGGGAGGAAGGGCAAACAAAAGGCTCCCAGCACAGAGTAAAAGGCCTAACACAGGACAATTCAAAGTTGTTGGTTTCCGAGTTAATTGAACCACACTAAGAATTAGTCTCAGAGAGGACAGAGCCTGGATGGAGGCCAAAGCCAGCAAACCAGTTATTCAGTTAAGCTCAAGGCTATCACTAGCAAGCCTGTCCGTGTTTGCCATGGAGAAACTAAGCCCACCATCTTTTGAAATAATGAAATGAACGTCTGTTGTTTTGTAGACTCTAGTTGCCTGCAAGGCATAACCGCCACAAATCATCTTCCATTCTTTCTTTATTTGTCACTTATTGACTCTGAAAAGAACATCAATAACCACACACTGGAACTTCCCCTCTGGCAGAAAAAAAAAAAAACAGTTCTAGCAAAGTAATTCATGCACATCTCTGTGTAAATACCAGAAACAGCAGGTAAAGAGTGAATGAATGCAAATGTGATGAAGCAGAAACTCAATCCTGGGGGTCTAAGGCTAAATAAGTGGCAAGACACCTTGAGGATCCCATGTAAGAAAACTTAACTGCAGTCAAGTAAATTAAGAACAGCCACTGATGAATCTAGGAGTTTCTGGTTTGAAAAGAAAAGAACCTTGGTTTAAAGCAACATGTCATGAACCTAACAGAATACTATAGAATTAGATATTTTTCCATGATCATTTAAAAATTAAAACTCTAAAATGATCCCTCACTCTCTTTCTGGGGTGGAATGATAGGATGTTCTTCTTGTGTTCTTCCCTTTCTTTCTATTTTTGATAACACATAGTAATTATTTATACAGTACAAAGTCTATTTTGATCCATGAATACATTGTGTAAGGATGGAATAAGATTAATGAGCACACTTACTACTAAGGGTTGAGACATGTGTGTGTGTGTGTGTGTGTGTATACACATTTATATGCATATATGTGTGTTTTATGTTTGTGGTATCTAAACATAGATTTATACATATATAAAAGTTTATATATCATATGTGTTTAGGTATATATATATATATATATATATATACACATCTAATGTATATATATATGTATTTAATGTGTGTGCTTGTGTAATAATGTATATACATTTTTTTCCAGTCCTCAGTCTTGAACCCAGGGCCTGGGTGCTGTCCCTGGACTTTTTTGTGCTCAAGGATAGTGCTCTACCATTTGAGCCACAGCAGCACTACTGGCTTTTATTGGTTTATTGGAGATAAGAGTCTCACAGACTTTCCTTCCCTGACTGGCTTGGAACTACAGTCCTCAGATCTCAGCCTCCTGAGTAGCTAGGATTATAGGTGTGAGCCACTGGTGGCTAGCTTATAAATGTTTTATATGTGTTCACACACACGTTTATGCGTGTGTTTGTATGTTTGTATATGCATTTATATGTATATGTATATATATATACATCCTTTATTCTAAACATCTCCTCCCCCATCAGAATCCAAACAAACCAAATGAAAACCTGAGACTTATCTTTTAAAGCTCCAAAGAATGAAATAAATACTGTTAGCATTGTAACTATGGTAGCAACAATTTTGCGTGTGGAAAAAGCTGATTCTCAAGAAAAGAAAAAAAGATCATCTTCTGAAATTAGATGCCTTTCAAACCCATGAAAAAGCTTTGACTTTCTTGAGAATAATTAATTTATTTCAAAAATAAAATTTGAATGCTGACAGCAAAGCAAAGATGCTTTTTCAAGCACATAAAATACCTCTTTTTAAAATCATCATCATCATCATCATCATCGTCATCATACTATTGAGATGCTCCTTATCAAGGCCATCACCCCTCCACAATATCAATTCATGTTCCCACCCCCAACCTGAGTGACCACCCTGGCCTCTCTTCTCACTTTCCTCCCTTGTCTTCTAAGTCTTACTTTATTTTTTTCTCACCATCAGTTTTCCAACTTACATAAGTAAAGAGCCAGCATTTTAAATATTATTTGAACACAGACTTATATTACCTACTTGAAAACTGAAAACAATTAACTAGAATCTATTCCTTCTTTCAGAAACTATTTTATTTACAATTGATCCACAAACATTTTGTATTATGTGCCTAGAAGAGAAATTAAACAAGACTCCATCTCTTAAGGATTTCATAAATTTGTAGACTCCTATTTGCTTATTTTTAAGGTTAATAATCCTTCATAAAAGTAAAAATTCCTTTACACAATAAATACCCCCGGCCCTACTCTTCCTTTTTCAGCCATGCCTCTCCACTATGCAGGGTGGGGGCAGCAGTTTGGTAAATAAACGTCTCCTGCTTGAATAGTGATGGTGTTCTCTTCATCAGCTACCTAATGAAACCTGCCTATTTAATATACCTAACCTATGGTGCTGTGGCTCGGATGGGGTTTTTGAGTTGGAAATGTGACAATTTCCTAACCCCCCTTTTCTGTGAACCGAACTGCCTTGAGACACCACGGGAGACTTTTCACCAACATCATTGCTGGCCTTCACATCCACGTCCACACCACTTCTGTACTCTGCCCCTCTGCCTCCTGAGACTTCCTCCAGACTTCATCTAAGGACTCACACCCACCAAGTGACAGCTGCTGCTTGCTGCCTTCTCCCAGAGGGGACCACATCTCGGCCTTTTACCCCTACTGTCCACACCCCTTGCCAGCAGGAAGTAGCCAGAGAGAATCTTCACCCTTTTTCATAATTATTAAAAGGCTGGAATGTAAGGTCTGCACAGGGTCACTTCCTTACCTCTTGGCTAAGTTTCTGCCCAGTATCTGTTACCTAGGTAACTGGCAGACCTGGAAGCAGTCACCTTCCCCTCCTGCTAGGTCACATCCTGGGCCACTTCTGGTCACATGCCTCCCATCTGACCATAGGCGGTTCCCAGACCCTGAGTTCATATGTGGATCCAGTGTAGCCACACCTCTTGCTGTCCCTGGCCTAGATAAATCCTGGTCCAGGGTGGGTGGCCCCTTCCTATTTCAGCCATGCCTCTCCACCATGCACAGCGGGGGCAGCAGTTCCATAAATAAGCTTCTTTTGCTGCCTGAACAAACAAACAAACAAATAAATATTCCCTATACAAGGGACCTTTTTCTGATTGTTCTCTGAGACCAGTTAAACTAGGAGATCAATTTTATAAATAATGCAATATCACAGGTATCCCTTCTCCCCCATTCATAAGAGCATAGGTTACTGATGGGGAAATTTAGCTATGTAACTTACTGCTTCTTCTATTTGACATCACTTCTGCGGTAGGAAAAATGGTTAAGCAATTTTATTATTTGATTCTGAGACTATTTTCCTGGGTATGTGTGCCTGTTAACTAATTGGAATGGTGTTCAATTGGAATGGTGATCAATGTTCATACTCTAGTACTCAGCCCAATTATTTACTTACATTTTATTTGTATTTTTGAGATGTTGTTGACACCATTAAAAATTCTTGAACCTTTGTTTTCAACCCAAAGTCAATTATTAGCATCTTGAAAAAAGGACATCGAAGTAAGCACGCTTTGAGTTTCAAAAGATGATTATCTACAAAATGTAATGATTGTTTATACTTCCCCTCCTAATAAATATAATTCTCTTGAGCCTTCTCAAAGCACTGCCATTATTTGTAGCTATTTACCTATGGAACTGGAAAATCTTTGAAATAGATCAAGTATCTTCTATTTCTCTTCATCAGGTGAATTTTCTTGACAAAGAGTACATTGAAGTGAAACAATAAAGTAATATTTTGAGGAGAAATACCTGTGATCAGTGAAGAAACCAAGCCCAATACCCCTTACTCATTACTTCTTTTAAATGCAGAAGAGCAGCATTTATAAACCATGTATACCACACACACACACACACACACACACACACACACACACACACACACAGAGGATGTGGTTATGCTACAAAGGGAAGTAGTCTTCAGTGCACATTATTTGTCATGATGCCTGGGAAGAAGGAATTAAGGCTCTTTCTATATTGTATTTCTCTAAAAAGCCCATTCTAATAGGCATATGCATTCTAATGCATTCTAATGCATATTTTCCCTTCCATCAGTATTGATGCTATTCTAGCTCACTTGTAAACATGGAAACCACATATGTAAAGCTTTTTTCAGTAGTTTTTTTAAAACAATTAAGTTCTCATTACTGTTAAGATAGCTGTAGTTTTCTTTTAATTCCCAAATTCATTTCTTGTTATTTGTGCCACAAAATAACAAGGATGGTTTTCCCAGCAAGAACACTGTGCCTTCTCTCTCATCGTCAATCAACTTGATTGTCAAGGGTGTTTTTGAAAAGACTTGCAAAATGTTTAAGAAAATATCTTACTAAAATTGTTTTTATTTTTGTTCAAAGAAAAATGTATTCAAATAAATTATTCTGTCTTTGCTTTTTGTGATCTTGATTCTTCATCTTATAGCAGAACACTTTACATAAAAATCAGATTGTAAAGGTAGGCACCAGTGGCTCAAACCTATAATCCTAGCTAATCAGGGGATGGAGATGAGGAGTATTATGGTTCAAAGCCAGCCAGGGCAAAAAGTTAGCAAGACGCTATGTCAACCAATAGCTATGTATGGTAGAACATGGCTTTCATCACACTGAGGCTTAGATCAGGAGATTCCAGGCTGGAGTTTCCAGGCCAGCTCAAGGTGGGGGGAGGGGGGATTTCAAGGTCTCCATCTTAACAGAAAAGCTGGAGATGGTGGCATGGTCCTATTATCCCAGCTACCACAGGAATTGTAAATATAAGGATTAAAGTTCAGGCTAACCTGAGGGATCTTATTTCAAATTTTTTAAATCTTACATTTTGAGATCTTATATTTTGAGATCTTATCACAAAAATAACCAAAACTAAAAGGGCTTGAGTCATGGCTCAAACAATAGAGCACCTATCCAGCTAACACAAAACTTTAAGGTCAAACACTAGTACCAAAAAAATAAAATTCAATTTTCAGAATTGAATCTTTTTTTACCTTTTTTCCCAATTTATATTCAAGTATAGGTTATAACAAAGAGATAAAAAGTTTTATTCCCCCATAAAGCTTGTTATTTTAAGAAAAGAATATACATAGAGAGATATAGATATAGATATAATTTCTGCCAGGTGCCAGTGGTTCACACCTATAATCCTATCTTCTTAGGAGTCTGAAATATGAGAGTTGCAGTTCAAAGCCAGCCTGGCAGGAAAGTCCATGAGATTCTTACCACCAATTAACCACCAAAAAGACAAAAGTGGAGCTGTGATTCAAGTGGTAGAGATTTGGCCTTGAGCAAAAAAGCTCAGGTACAGCACTCAGACCCTGTTCAAGCCCAAGTACTGGCCTATCTATCTATCTATCTTTTTTTTTTTTTTTTTTGTCCATCGTGGGGCTTGAACTCTGGGTCTGGGCACTGTCCCTGAGCTCTTCAGCTCAAGGCGAGCACTCTACCACTTGAGCCACAGCACCACTTCTGGTTTTTCTAGTGGTTTTATTGGAGATAAGAGTCTCACAAAGTTTCCTGCCTGGCTGGCTTTGAACCATGATCCTCAGATCTCAGCCTCCCAAGTAGCTAGGATTACAGGTGTGAGCAACCAGCACTTGGCTATCTATCTAGTATTTTTAAAAATATGTAAGCCTATCACTTTATTTACACAGTCCCTCTATATAATGAAAAGAAAATACATTCTCACAGTTCTTTTCTTGTCTTCTATCTACCACATTTATATGATTTTCTTTTGAAGATGTCAGTGTTATCACAAATATTTTCTTCCACCTTTAGTATAATCAAAAGCTACTTTATCCGATCGCAAAAGGAATTTATTCTCCTCATAAACCATCCATGTATTTGAGAATGTAAAATACTTACCCTAAGACAATTAAAATCATTTGTAATTCACTTCCCATAAAACCCATTAGCCTTTTCCTAGATTATATATATATATAAGTTATATATTTGTATTATTTATATTTATATGGGTTAGCTATGGAGAAAGTTAGCCATATAGCTTACTTCCCTCTTTTACCTTTACTTACTCATAATTTTTCTAGTTCCAGAAAGAGTTTACTAACTTACAATACCAATGCATTTAATATGCATAAAAGATAACATTAAATACACAAAAAAGATCCAGATATACAAAAGGCAATGTCATTAATAAAAACAAAACAAAGGAATAATGAGAAATGAAGTTAAAAACCAGTATGATGAATTCTTCTTCACCTGAGGCATTGATTTATACCACCAAGATCACAAGGCATATTTGAGTGTGTGTTTGAGAAGAGTGGTCTAAAATGAATGCAATCTGTAAATGTTGAACCTAAAGAAAGTTTGCAATCCTATTGCAGGGCCAAGAGAGAACAAATCAGTGTCCATGGTCACTCATCCACTTCAGTGTATCCACCTCTGCCCTCTGAGCTCCTTCTTCTGTCCCCTCTTTCCCTGGGGCTTACTCTTGGCTGATGTGTTTCTCATTTGGAGGTAGACATTAATTACAATAAACTATGGCTGTGTGTCTGACTTCCTTTCCTAAACTCAACCCTCAATGCTTTCACCCACAGAAAATCTCCAACAGCTCTAGAAGGGGTAACAATATATTCATGCGATTCCCAAATCAAAATCCTGTAAAAATTGTACACTTACATGTTTATTAATCCTTCATTAAGTTATTTTGTTCATTCTTCCACAGTTTTTCATTACAAATCAAAGGAAATAGAAATCTATATTCCTATTTTTGTCAAACTCACTTTCCAGTGACTTGACTTTCCTCTCATTTCTGTCTCTGTCTCTGTCATACACACAACACACACACACAACACAGACTCCTTTAGCTCATGGTTCTGCTCAAAGCAACAAGGAATCGCTGGAGGGAGAAACGTGAAAAGATCTAGAATCCAATTAACTTTTGCCATCATTGGTGCATAACATGGGATGACTCACTGCTTTTTTCATAAATGAGGATGCAAATCTCATAAATTAATCAAGGTTTTCCAAGGGAAGTGATGAACCAAAACCCAGATGTTCACCTAATTAACAAATTAATCTTTAAAAACCAGCCTAAAGTTCCTTTCTTCATCTACACATGATCATAAGTACTGCTAGTTTTTAATTTCATATTGCTGCTCTCACCTGGAATAGAATCATACTCTCAGTGCATATCCTGTGCATAGAGCATATCCTGTGGATAGAGAAAATTAAGTTAAAAATTAGAATACTTATATAGTTTTCACTGTTTTTTTAAACAACTTGTACTTCCATGTAAGACAATTTCAGTGTAAGGAACATATACAAGATCCATACTGTCCTTCATTTCTACTAGAATGCCTTCTAAAGTTTTATTCCAAAAATAAAAACTGAATGATAAGGAATTGGCAAGGGATCAAAATTTTACTATATTCCATTCGTTTCATTTATTCATTTTTATTTTCTGCTTCTACACTGCTCTATGTAAGCATTGTATTCACCTATCATTCTTCCTTATTCTTCTAAAATTCATGTTTGAATATACATAAATGTTTTAGTTTCATGAAACAATAAGAAAAGGCTTCTTCTTTCGTGGATGACTTAACTCTGAGTCTCCTTCTTTGTCACCCCATAACTACATTGTTTATTGCGATTATCATGTGATTATTATTGTTGTGATTTTTATGTGATTATTAACCTTGAATGTCATAAATACTTTCCATACATGACATTGTTTGATCTTCACAAAGGTCACAAAGAACCTGGGTGACAATGAGTACACCTACACAGGAGAAACCAAGACACTATCAGGTCAATGATTTTGCTAAAGACTCCAAACCAATGAATGGTAGAACTAATTGATCTTTGATCTATGGCTCTAGCTCCAAGTGTAGGGTGGGTGAGTTCTTTGATTATGGCATTCTAGAGATGATCAACTGGCACTGTATCTTCTGTCAGCCTCCTATGAACTTTATAGTTTCAAACACTATTAGGCCTGCATCCAATGGTTACTTATCGATTTGTTTATCTCTAAGAATGTTCTCATTTGAATATGCTTGCAGGAAAGATGACAGCTCATTGGCTTGCCATCACAAGAGCATAAACTGTGAAAATTCCCAGAAGAAGTCTACCTTAGATTTATGATCGACACGCTCTGAAGCTTCAAAACAGTTCTGTAAATTCTCCATAAAAATTGTCACAAGAAGTGAAATTTCAGAGACCCCGAAAGAAAGCCAGATCTTAACAGACATATTTTAGAACACAAACAATAAGTGTTTTCTGGATTGCATTGAATTGAATTGCCTGCCCTCTGTATGTTTAATAAAGGCACCATGTACAGGAAGCAAATAAATTACTGTGTATCCAATAACCAAGTTCCCTTGGATTTGACTCTCAGGGTCACTTAATAACTTTGGGAGCTGTTTTTCCTTGCAGTTCACTGAGACCCTATCAAAATGCTTTGTTCTTCAACAAGTAGAGAGCCATGAGTGTAATTGTATCTATAAAATGTTGTCTTTGTTGCTTAGAAAGTAACTTCTAGTTTGTGACTCACAGATCGCTGGTCACTAGACATCTTACAGATGGGGCAACTGAGACTAGGTCATTTAGAGTCTTGGTTTCCCTCTCAGAACATAAAGAGAGTGGACTAGACAACCCCCACAGTACTGTAGTGCTAGGGAAACAGGGGTGAAGTAATAGAAGGTAAATAATTTTTAAATGCATTTGAAAAGATGAATATGTTGAAGTAGATTGTTTGCCACTGGGGAAAAAATTGCACAAGGAAATCTGTTGAAATTGTTTGGGGGAAGGAATAAAGAGGGAAGGGAAAGTGATAAAGGTAAGATTAGCTGGGTACCAGTAGCTCACACCTAATCATAGTTATTCAGGAGGCTGAGATCTGAGGATCACAGTTCAAAGCCAGCCCGGGCAGGAAAGTCCATGAGACTCTTATCTCCAATAAACCACTCAGAAAGCTGGAAGTGGCACTATGGCTCAAGTGGTAGGGCGCTAGCCTTGAGCTGAAGAGCTGAGGGACAGTGCCCAGGCCCAGAGTTCAAGCCCCATGACCAACAAAAAAAAAAGGGGGGTAGTGGTAAGATTAAATTAGTTAGAACACATTATAAACATGTCTGGAAATTTAACAAGGAAATTTTCCTCTGCAAAACTAATGCAATCTATTAATAATGAAAAGGAATGAAAATTTGTCATTTATAATAATATGGATGAAACTAGAAGACATGATGTTAAGTAAAATAAGCCAGGCACAGGAAAGAAAAAACAGTGCTTCTTTTTTTTCATATCTGGAAACTAAAAAAGTTGATTTTACAGAAATATAGAGTATAATATTGGTCACTAAAGTAGGGAGGAGCAGGACAAAGGAACACTGGATAACAGTTAACAAAGTA